GCCCCAGTCGTTAGCTTGGCTTCATGGGCTGACGCCGGGAGCGTCTAAGAGCCTGGTCAAATCTCTCATTCCACGCAACCAGGTGGCATCGACCCTATCCTCCGAGGCCTCATGGCCACCCCAGCTAAGCTGAACCGGCAGGATTCCATGGTGGTGGATGAGCTGCGGGACAAGCTCTTTCAGCAAGTGAGAAGGATCGGGCTGGATCTGGCAGCTCTGAACATGCAGCGGAGCCGGGACCACGGCCTTCCAGGTGACGGGGCCCCTCACACGGGGCTGTTTGGGGGCGGTTCAGAGCAGACCTGGACCCTCCCTTCGGACAGGAGCTCGGTGTGCAGTAGTGCAGAGCCGGCAAGGCTCATGTTGATGCAGCAGAGACGCCCACAATCCCTTGCTTGCTGACTCCTCAGCTCCTCCCCATCTGCTCTAGAGGAGACTCCAGCTTTAGGTTCACCCCAGGACTAGGTCAGGGGGCTAGGAAGTGAAGAGAGGAGATCAGAACTTTCTGAGCAGTGAAAAGCACTAGGAGACGAAGGACCTGTCCCATTACCCACCTCACTGGTGACTCAGAGAAGAAGGCATTGCAAGTTCTAGGACCAAAGAGATTTCTGGGCCCTTTGAAAGCCAAGGACCCAGAGAGTCCTTGGTGAGCAAGCAGACTAGGACTAAGGCCCCCGTGGGGCTGTTTGGGGAGGACACTATCATAGGAGTGAAGAGAACAGACATTTCTGTTTATTTCATTTCCTTGTCCCAGTGACCTCAGCAGCAGCTGTCTCGGCCACCATGGGGAGTAAGTCAGAGGTGGCTAGAGATTAGCTCAAAGCCATGAAAATATGAAGTAAAAGTCCGGTTTCAAAATGCCTTCGTTCTTCCTGTTGTTTGACCCCATTCAACACCAAAAAGAGGTTTCAGCTCTAGCTTGCCTTTCTTCCAAACAGCTCCAACCTTCCTCCCTAGGTAGAACCTGAAGCCCCTTGTGTCCTGGAGGCTCCGCACACATGTGCAAAAGAGTCAGGGGGCCTTCCTTCTGCCTACGCTGCTCACTACAGCAATGGCAGACACTGAGGGACCAGGAACTCATCATTTTCTTCTTCTTCCTCCACCTCCTCTCTCTCTCTGTACATGTATCTTCCTTCCTTCCTTCCTCCCTTCCTCCCTTCCTCCCTCCCTCCCTCCCTCCCTCCCTCCTT